TGGCATTTTTTGTCAGGTAGAACAATAATTAATTTAGGTTATCATCAACACCAACATCAATAAGAAATATTTAAAAGAAAATATGGACATTTATTTTATTTGGGCCGTAAAATTTTTTTTTTTTTAAATATCTATCGTGTAAAAAAAGCGTCTAATCCAAACTGTGATACGTGTTTATAGGATAATTCAGAGTTATGTACACAATTGAATAACTATCTTATCTTTAGTATAACAGTGTTAACATGATAATAAGTGTACAATTTCTACCTTAGGTTAGAATTATAACAAAGCTCGTTTCTGCTAAAACGAAAATAACTTATAAAATTTTCAAAATATTTTCTTTTCATAATCACTTTCCTCTCATAATTTAATTTAAAACTAACACCTTTGTTTTGGTATTGCTACTTACAAATATTTTTACTAGAACAAGGTTGATCACCTCTTTTGCATACTAGTTTATATTAATAAATCACCCCGACGAGAAACACTCTTGGTCTATTGGCTGTAACTCGACAAACAATCCTGATCAATGAACTTGAAAATTGTTTCTCCACGTTATTTTATTTGTAGAGTTCGCCATGGGAAAATTTGGATTGTACGTTACGCTACAATGTACCCGCATAACTTACTTAATGAGAAATCTCAAATTGTACTTTATTTCTCTAAGGACTCGTGAAATCTAAAAGAAACTTGTCAATTTTTAAGCGTTTTTTGTTGAGCGACATGTTCGTATTACTGAAATTTGTCTAGTTGATAAAACCCTAGACAATTAGGACGCATTTATGTGGTCCTCTTTTATCGAAGAGGCAGCCAAGATCTGCTGGGAACTTGTTTCTAAGGGTGTACACGAGTCCCCTCTAATAGACCCATTTGTATCGGAATACGTGATTGTCGGCTTGATTCCGGCATACCATTTCACCGCTCGTTCCATTGGGGTCATGACCCGTGAGGTTATATTATTAGAATAATAAGTTCTCTTTCTATTATGGCCAGTTATTAAAAAAATGGTATCCTATATTAAACAATAATGACATTGATTAACCCGAGAATAGTATACACTAGGAAGTAATATTAATAGGCAATATCAATAGGTAAGGCATTAAGAGACAAGGACAGTGCTAATTGAAGTCACAAAGAAATCAAAATTCAGCGTAACTTACATCTACGAATACACCATCAATGATATACGCCAGTACCTCCTTTCCAAGGAGAAGCCTATGTCCACCAGTTGACTATTAAAGGCTGTCGATGATGATGATATACGTAATATGGTTCCGTGGGGTCTAAAGACAGCGAATACTGATAGTGACACATTGCACCGGTGGTGTCATTCCTTCGTAGTCTACCTAATACTCATGAGGGTGAAATGTTATGAGTATATTGTATACACTGGCAACGCGTGGTTGGCTACAAAACATTCATTTGTTTTCATTGAACCCGTGTCATATCATTAGGGAACACCGAATAATGCTGTATAATAAAATGTCAACAATATATCGTTCGTTTCCCATAACGATATCAAAGCATACGCTTGTTTTGTGGTGGTTTTGCTTTTTTGATAAGGAATCATAACATTTTATTAGGAATTGTTTGATTCTGTAACATAATAAGCTCTATAAATGTTGAATCTAAAATGTTCTATACAAAATCTACTACACTAGTAATGTTTTAAAATTAAGTATTAAAGTGTAAAAGTTGTAGATTTTAATATTATAAAGGTGAAAGGTTGTGATGATGGATGGATGTGTGAATGTTTGTTACTTAATAAATAACCCCAGAACGGTTAGACGGATGTGGATGAAATTAGGTACGGTGATAGATTATAGTCTGGAATTGGGTACTTTGATAATTTTATTGGACACAGTGGAAATTATATATTATAAAAAAATTAACGCAAGCTCAGACGCTGGTAGAAGATAGTAAAATAATATATTATTCGGGGCTGAAGCCTTACAGCGTGAACGTAGTATAAAGAAAATTGCTTTATGAGTTCACTTGACGAAAATAAAAACGATGAATGAATGAATAAAAATGACGAATGAAACCGATCGAAAGCCCCGTCACACTGATTGACACACCAAGAGTAAAAAAATGTTCAATGTTGTCAAAATGTATGATTCACTGCTCTATTTAAAGTAACGAAGCTAACGGTTTTAATTTTCTATGATATTCTTCAATTATATGTAAGGTATTGGCGATTTCATTTTGTTCACGGTTATTACTTGGGTATAACGGAGTTCCTTTAAATACCTAAGTTCTTTTGACTTTATTGCGCATACAAGGCTTACGAAAAGCTAAGCTTGAAAGAATCTCAAAATTAATATGGTATTTTAAATTTCTTTTGTTAATCTACTTCTTGTTGTGAGTATGGTGGAAACGACCCGAGCCTCAATTCTGCTTTTTAAAATTGTATCAATGGACTGCCGATGGAACGTCGTCGGAATAGTTTTGCACTTTTCTTATTCTACCAAATATGTAAGACCAATGGCCTCCCGATGACTTGTCACTGACAAAAATGTCGTCGAAGTCTTTGTAATAGTTTGGTAAAATTTTAAAGTTGTAAGAAAATTATATATTTAATTTTCATGATATGTCAATATTGTTGATGACCTATATTACTGTATTGACAGTCTATTGACATTGTAAATTTATGTTAGTAGAATACCGATAGTTTGTCCGATGTCAGTGGCATTTTAATAGCGTGTCAATGGAATGACAGTGGCTTGGCGTTAACATAAAATAGCAGAATTGAGGCCCAGTAAGTTAAAGTCGGGCCCGTTTTACTAGTGGTTATCGATCTTGACCGCCAAGTCAGAGTGGGTTCGACTTTCATCTAGGACAATTATTCTTTGATGAGCCCGATCATTTGTTCAGTGTTTGTGTGTAATTGATCTTAATACTCGCTTTTGCTCGCGGCTTCGCCCGCGTGTATGTCGGTTATCGCGGCAAAAAGTAGCATAACTTACTCGCTGATAATGTAGCTTTCCATTGGTGAAAGAAAATTGGTTTAGTTGTTTAGGCATAAAAGCGTAACAAACAAACTCGTTTTCACATTTAAAATAAAAGTATGAAAGCATGGATATGTATGTTTTTGAAAAGATTTTTTATTCGATAATACGTCTTCTTAATACGTCTTCGTCTACCCCTTGGGGATAGTGACATGAGTCTATGTACGTATATTAAAAACATACCTTACTACTATATATAGATTATTATTATAGCAAAGTCCAACACACCACTTCCTTTTATGATATAAATAATACACTAATGTTCTACAAGAATCGTGTAATTACCTGTATAATAACTTCATTTATATTCAATAATAAATAGTCACTCCCACCCATAATAATCGCAGCTATATAAAACATCCTTGCCGGTATCATCATCATCATCATCATCAACAGCCTTTAATGGTCCACTGTTGGACATAGGCAGAGGCCTATGTCCAGTAACCTCCAGGTTTTGGCCTACTGACCTATATACATATAATATAGTTATTAAAGATTAATGCATTTAACCAATAATATTAAGTTTAAAAAATATCACCGACTTCAATGCGTGGTACTCAAAAAAAGTCCACTTTTAAGAAAATATACATAGAAATACAAACCAGACCAAAAATAATGTTTATTGAAGACTAGTTCTAAGGGACTAAATATAAAAAAATACAAATTCAATAGAGAACCTCCTCCTTTTAATAAGGTCGGTTAAAACAACTCTCAGCTGGAGCTTGTTTTTATTTGGCAGCAAGTCATTATTAGTAAAGAAATACATAGATTAATATCAAATGACAGACACAAAATGTTATAAACATATCAAATGACGTTTACATATTTACACAAAGCCCATATATAGTTGAATTATGCAAAACAGTTGGCCATTGACGATGTTGTGTAATTAAATATAAAAAGCATATTAATCTCGTTGACCTTATCGTAAACTGTTGCCGTGGTTTTACCTTCAAGCCGAAATGCAAATATGTAGGCTTGTGGAAAATAAAAAAAGGAAATTAGAAACTGTTTCTTTTTTTTTATTTATTTATTTACCTCTTTATTGTGCACTAAATAAATGCTGTACACATCACAACGTAATTAAACCAAATAGTAATGGTATAATAAAATTAAATTTAGTAATGGTAATTACAATAACTTATTGGTATTATGGTATACACAATGAAGTTAGTAACGAATTATATTTTCAGAGTCACAAGAGAATTATAATCTCTGAACGGATATAAGCCTATATCGATAATATACCATACAGAAAGTTTGTGAGAGCTTGGTAAATTCTCTAATAGCAGGAGTTAGAGTTCTAACGAATCTGTAATATACCGGATGTATTATTGCAGATTCATTAATACTTATTGTATGATGCGCCTTTTAAATCTAATATTGTTCTTATTTTACTTTTATCAATTTAAAAGTTCTGTAAAGTTGATGAATTTGTTAAGATAAGACTTATTAAGACTATCTTTCGATTGATTTTTTTTCAAAGAAAATAATGAACAAACATATTCAAAAGATGTCAAGTTACACAACATCAATGGTCATCAAGATCACCATAGTACCTGGCTTTTATCAACTTCATGACGCCCACTCCACTCTCCCACACGTGGCTAATAAACTGACGACATACTTGAGAAAGTGAATGCTCCAATACTAATTAGAGTTGCCGATATTACGGTTACTAAAGGTAATATGAACGAAAGCGGGAAAATAATTGGCACTTGCTGCTTTCAAAGCTACTAATGAGCTCGAACATGATAAGTTTTTGGAAGCTTTCATCCTGGTAATAAAACATATGAGGTGAGCCTGGTCAACTAAATCAACTTACATTTAATCATTTTACACCACCTCATAAATAGAAGCCAGCAGGTGTTAAGTTTGACATGACCGTGCATAATAATATATATGTATTTGACTTGAATACCTTGAATTCATTCATATGGAGCCCACGCATGGATTCTTTAGAAACAAATTCGGAACGAAATGTGACACTTACTAAGATAAATATTTAACAAGATGTAAGAATGTATTAATTTTTACCAACCTTTTTGATCGGACTCGGGTGTACCGCCAAGTATTGCTGCTGTAATGTCCTGAACTCGAAGGACACAGAAGTAATTGGAGGCTGTTTGGTCTCGGTTGCCGTTGTTTCTTCACCCTCAACTTTACCACTTCCTCTATCTTCTTGGTTTCCTTGATTGGTGGCTTTTTTGCATCCATACTCCATCTGTGTTCGTCTATAATAATCCGCTCCTCCAAATTCAAATGATCTAGTCTATCTTTTATAAAACTCCTCGTACGAAGCAAGTCAGGAGTTGTATCTATTTTATCATGTCTCCGCATTTCAATAGGAGACAAAGGTGGTCTACGGGGTTCGAAAACCACTTTCGAGTATTCGTTGCTTCGACGCCATAGTCGTGGAGATAAAGGCCAAAAACGCCCATGATATTGACCAGATTCCATAACCATTTTAACTTATTTCCACTTTACGAAATTCATAAAACACTTTCGACTTTACCGATGCTGTTGACATGAATAAATTTTAGCTTAAGATTCTCGAACAAGCCACATATGAATATATTATCATATAAGTATGGAAGTGCCATCAAAGAAAATATATTTTAATTCAGTAAAAAAATTGTTAAAACGTGTGATATATCCGAAAGCAATTCAAAGACTGAATGCAAAATGCATAACGAACGCGGCCCACACTATCAATCCTGCGAACCGTCGACAGTTTTGAAAGATAAAGATGAAGTGACTGTTTTGATGACTCAAACAGTAGCTCATCGAATAAATGTTTATAATATAATGACATATAAGAATTACAATTTTGTTTCCTTCGATTGCCTTTCTGTAAACCTGTGTCTTACGTATTTAAGACACAGGGTTACAAAAAATAAATGTAAATATATACTTAACAAAGCTATTTATATGAAGGCCCAGCTACACTGAACTTTTGCTCAGTATATTTGTTTTCTTTATTTTAGTATTTTATTTATTTAAGGCAAAAGCAGATTTTATGTCAAAATTTCAAGGTAATCAATTCATTACTTTATGAGTGTTAAAAGTACAACTATTTACATTAATAGTAATATTTAGAAAGACCGAATGTAGCCTATGATAAAAAAAGTTTATAGGATAAAGGTAATGTTTGAATCGTCCAACAAGGCGAACGAGGAACAACAAACAGTTATGATGAGTGTTAAGTGTTTCAACTGGTTTGACCCATAATGATACATATTTTATCGCCATTAGTGAATTCTGCATCCATTAACAAATCGAGAGCAGTAGCCGGAAAAGCATAATAACCAAGAGCTTAGCTTTAGCAATAAAAGTCAAGCTTGTGCATTATTTATTATGACATTGAAAACTAGATCGATATCTTTACCTTCATTTTAAAATCTCATGAATTTGGAAAAAGGTGAAATGGCCTCAAACGTGTTACTACTTTGAGTAGGTGTATTAGTAAAAAATCAAGATTGAATTAATTTCAAGAAGGTTTAAGTTTTGGAAAGTAAAACGTTTTTTTACTTTTAACTGATTTAGTCTTTAAAGTTACGCATTGATACGGAACATTTCTTATAAATTTGATACTCTAAAAAATATTGTTCAGCACTTAATCTCTGACTTAAAGCCAGCTCACTTTGACCGATACCAAACTTACAAACTTTCAATCGAAATGTTGGCGAAATTTAATTTAATTGATAATTCCTGACGGCAATGACAGACGTACTACAAGGAGGTATAATGGCTCCCTTATCGGATGTCACTGAATAACATTGCATACTAAATACGCAGGAAACTATGGCCGACAGGACGTAATATAAGTAGGTACGTGTGTCTATGCAAATGCTCTAATAGTATATACATAGATCGATATCTATGTAGATCGATATAACAGCAAAGGGACCGCAGAACTTTGAACACAGCATTTTTAGAGCTTCGACTTTTGATAGCCTTTTGACTACGTTCCACATTATATGGTAAGTGGCATAGCATAAAGAATATTTTTATGTTTTTATAATCTGTTAAATAATTTAATTTAAGACAAATAAATATATTATATATTATTAAAATGTCTTTACAAAACAAAAAAAAATGTTTTACAATAAAGTTTATTCTATTATTTAATGGTAAACATTATGGAAATTTAGGATGATTGAGTAAATATTATATACCTATACTTCCAGAAGTATTATATGTATTCAAATCGCTAAACAATGCTTTTGCAAGTCTAAAATAAGGGAAAGGAAACAGAGATAGTTTAAACAATGGATTTAAAAAAAGCCGTTACCAAGTATGGTGCCGGAAGCTATGAGGATTGAATCACAGGAAACTGCGTAGCCAAGTATTATTACAATGGCTGCGTAGCTGATTCAGCTATTAAGAATTCTCGAAATTGGATTTAAAAGATTTCTGATTTTTGCTGGTATAAAAATTGCGAAACGTGAACGGTATGATTAATAGTGGTTTTGGTGTATCAACCTATTATCAGTATTCTAGAACCACACGAAACGTAATGGCATTGATAGATAGCAAATTATTATTGCTCATGCAATACTTGTATAGTTTTTAATCTTTACTCGAGCTAACGAGAACAATATTAATTTGGTTAATAACTATACTTGGTTAGTTGGAGTTACAGGAATTCCCCTCACACTATCCAAGTCATCCGTCTGAATAATAACTAAAATTACCTTCCCGCCTTATCTGCCTTTCTTTCAATATCTTCCTAATTTACTCATCAAATACCTAATGCGCCTAGTTGCACATCACGATTACGGTCCTTTGTTCTCTTCTTGGGTGTAGTTATTCTTTATGTATGTACTAGCTTTTGGCCGCGGCTCCGCCCGCATGTATGTCGGTTATCGCGGTAAAAAGTGGTGTGTTACTCCCTGATAGTGGATAGCTTTCCAATGCTGAAGGAATTTTTAAAATCAGTTTCGTGGTTTAGGTGTAAAAGCTTAACAAACAAACAGACAAATAAATTTAACATTTATACTATAATATGTATGAATAAAAGTATGGATTTAGATGTATATAAATATGTTTATTTAGAAATATATGTTTTGGTTTGATGGCAACAAACTGGAAACGAATTTGGAGTAGGTAAAATTAAGGCGTTTAATAGGTCTCTGCCTACCTCTTTGGATATATAGGTACAAGTGTATTACTCGGTAATATCTTTTATGTGGACCTATAATTAAACTTAGTTTGTATCAGGACCTCCAAAATAAGGATTAACATACTTGATTTTTCTTTTGTAAGTACATATACATATATAATTAACACTGACTCCAAGATAAAAAAAGGTTTGAATCGGCAACTTCAGTTGAATGCGAATGCTCGATTTTATAATTCGATTCAAATAGATTAATTGAACCTTGGTTGAACATATCATGGTGTGAAATCACGAGTCAGACGACGGATATATGTGTTATAGTTCACGTAGTGATCAATGAATAATGCATGAATCAATAAAACTGTCACAAATGACATACGCGATGTAAACAAATATTCACTTTATAACACATTGTTCGTTGAAAAATGGCTGGCGTCCACCGGGAATAAAATGTCAATATCCAATTACGATTGGTTTATGCTATGTGTAATTACTATCCGATATTGAACATGAATATCCATTTTATAGTAACTCGAAAATTATATTATGCGAGTTTTGGGTTTTCATAGTTACTCATATTTCACGGTACTGTTTGCTGTTCATATGGGACGATGGAGATGCTCAGCGACCTTTTAATAGTAAAAAGAAAAAAAAACTTTTATTTTGTGTTCAGCCAATATTATTAATATGGTAGGTTACAAACATATTTGTCACAATGTGGAAGAAGTTTGTATCTTCAAATATACATACACGCAGAGGTAGATCAATGAAGGGATAGTCAGAGATGTATTAAACACACTGTAGGCAGAGATTTACTATCCTAGATTAAAAGCCAAGAGGACTCTGTCAATCTAAATTATTAGTATAGAGATAAATACGTTGACTGTGTAAACGCACTAATTCAAAAAGTACCTGAATTGAAAGATATTTAACCCAACATATAGATAACAATATAATATTATCTGGAAAGTGCTATAAAAGAAAAGCTTTAAAAAGGGCCAGTGTTTCCTTCATAAATTAAATTAGTAGAAGAGTGTTCTTAAGTAAGATCTTGCAAACCGATATTTTGTTGTCATTAGCATCTGTGATCTGTGTCATTATCACTTCTCTTTATTTTTATTATATTGATAGTACATATTTCAAAGTTACTTAAAAATACATTACGCATTTATGATTTTTTTAAATGAGTTTTTTGGCGGTAATGACAGGAAAAGCAAATAAATATGAACCTTATTTGTCCCGCATTTTGTGATCGTACTGTAGTTGTTATTTACTACTGTAGTAGTTGTTATTTACTGTTTACACATCTTTTTTATTGGTATACCATTGCATATCATTAAAAACAATGTATATACTATATTATATACTGCAGAATGTGGCCCAACGGTGATATTTGGATTGGAAAGTCCTAATATGTACTTTATGCCTATTGGCGCGAAAACTCGGCCGGCTACGATACATGCTGTTGGTAAGTACATACGTCAAGAAGTCGTATCATGCTGTATGTGGAAGTCGTCACATACTCATGACATAATTATTAAAACACAATCATTTTCTACTTCGTCTACAATACCTATTATTTATGTATATTTTTACCCACCATATACATAACTATCTTTTAGAGCAACAGTTTTCTCAAACTGTAATATAATCTTCTCTAATTCGGGAAGAACACTTTGCTTAGAGAAACATTTCGCAATGTGGACTAGAACTGTAAAGACACATGCTCATGGATAAACATTTTTTATTTTCAGTTCAAAAAGAATTTTTTAGTAGGTCTACTCTGCACCACTAAGTTTAAGTCTAATGTTCACAACTTCCCTATAATTCAACCAATGTAAGTGCGCAACAAAAATAATATACTGGTAAAGTCGGAAGATTTCTTAAAAATCTGCTATCGTTTATGCAAATAACCCCTTCTCTCTTCCCGACTATTCGTCCCATATAGTGGTAAATAACAAATAACTGTTTATGTAAATAATTCAAAATACAATACTGTTTCTACCTATGAATTAGAATTGCAAATGTTATATCTTGCAGTTAAGCTAAATTGCATTATTGTTACTTGCAATAAACGCGAATTACTTGTTTGTGTAAACGTAAACTTACTCATCGAGCGCCCGAGTTCAACACCCATTTCACAATATACCGGAGCGGGTAATAACGTGCGTTTTCATAACTGTTTAGTTAGTTAGTTCTCTTACTGTTTCATTATGTTTACTAGTTTACATTTGGTTCCGAAGTCGGTATTAGAAACAGTTATCTAACTTGAATCGAAGTCGGCGTTATATTAAAAACATTTCAAATAAACTAGTGACTGTTGAAAAATTCGTCCGTAATTCCG